TGACAGTGTCTGGATACTGTTTGAGAGCATGTATGGTAGAATTGAGCCTCAGGAAGTGGTTCTGCATGACCCTGCCAAACGGGTCATCTGGGTGGATCGGTTCATACATCACAAACATAGATTATGGGAGCAGCTTGGCAGCCCAGCCAATCACAGCATCTGACCTGGAGAAAATCACCAAAACACATGTTAAAAAAATTGAGCTAGCCTGTTTGCACAAAAGTTAATATGCCCTCTTTTTCATTAAACAGGTATAGTAGAAAGTAAAAGGAAACTACTGGGAAGACAGAATGGCAATGGGAACAGGATTTGTTGCAGGCAAGGCAACACACAAACCTGCACCTATGGAATGAGCACCAAGACTCAGTGGTTTTCAGGAGCACATATATTAATTATTGCACCATCCCACTGCAGTCCAGCTCTGCTCAGAGTCGCCTCCACCTCCTGCTCCTTCCTGACATCCACACCAATGAGATTATAATGACCACTTCTGATGAACACAGCATCTATACATGGGCAAGAAATATACCGCAAATGTTCTAACATCACATTTTAGGGACGGAAGACAGGGTTGGACGAAGATTTGCTGGCAAGATATGCATATATCTGTATAAATAATAAAGTTTATATACAGTACCATACAATTTAAGTGGTTACGTTTTGGTAATATAATCCATTAATATATTAATATGTGATACAGTGAACATCCTACTAGTCGGCTGATTTGAGACAGTCTCCCAATCTGGCAACGTGTCCTTCAGGCAAGTATTGCTATTGATCAAGGTAGCCTTGCGCCGGGCAACTTCTGGAAAGTCAATCTCAAAAACTGTGACACCTCCAAGGGCTCCTTCAGCATGTAGCCGGAAATACAGGGAGTCAAACCCAGCTCCTAGTGACATAATCTGAGATTAAGAGAGGGATATGATCAAGGCATTCAATTTTTAGAGTAAAAACACTCATAAACAAAAGGTGAACATTTCATCCCACCTGTCTCCTCGAGCAGGATTTTGAGGCATGGAAAAAACAGTGATCAACTGTTTTCCAGCACACAAAATAACCTCTGAGACAGAAAATATAGAAGCATTGGAAATATCGAAATACCATATCTGTATGAACATTTATCTATTAATCAGTGGAGCTCTTCTTGACACTTTGCACACAAAATGCCTAAGGAAATCATCGTGGAAGTAGCCCTGTGCCGCTGCTGACACCTTACTGACCACACTGCTGTCATTAGTGCCTTGCACGTGAGAGAAAATGTTAAAGAAAATACGGGGGAAAAAGGTTAATTCCACAGGAGAAAGTAAGTAATACAGGTTTGGAACAACACGAGGGGGAGTAAATGATGACAGAATATTTATTTTTGGGTCGACTATCCCTTAAAGATCAGCAAATACCACGTCAAATACAACAGAGTACAGAAAGGTGTTACAAAAAAACTATATATTTTTTTTAATTAATTTGTTCTTAAACTACTAACATGGACAAAGCTCATATGTATAATAATAATAATAATAACAACAATATGATTATTATTATGTAATATAATGTATTATAAATTAATTTAATATGAATTTAATATAAATATTATTAATTATATATATATATATTTGACTTTTTGACGACATTCTAATGTATTGAGATGCACCTGTATGTACTAAGCTACTGAGTTATGCTTTGATACAACCTCCCAACTTTTCTCTTTTTTAACAAAATGTGCTTTTTTACCTTGGACTGTGTAATATAATTTCAACTTTATCTTTAACAGCATTCAAGGTGTTTTTAACCTTTCAAAACACATTCTCGTGTTAGCCGACAGATTACACTTTCACATGTGACCGACAATTCCACAACAAATATAAAATATCATAATGAAATATTATCAAAACAAAATTATTCAACTGACGGAGGTGACAGAACTGACGGAGTTGACAAAAACCTGAATTTGTAGTTATTTTAACTATCAAATGCATTGAATCAGTCAATTACTGTATTAAAATGTGACACAGGAAATATTAACATTAGGACTTAAAATATTCTAAAACTAAAACTTTGCAGAGTACAGCAGTGTCAGACAGGCTCTGCAGAGGTGAACTGTGGCAAGGGGGTCCTTTAGAGTGACAGCTGCCCCTGATATTCCCTGATTTTATTACATTTTATTGAATGTCTGACGGTGTTGACAAAAAGTGGGGATGCAACTTTAAAATCTTATGAAACATGCATGTGTCATTAAAAAAAACAACCTTGCTTTTGATAGGAGATATTATTAAGTGTTACTTTTGATAAAACAAGCTCCTTTTCATCATTAAATTTTTTTTTTATCTATCCATTTTATTGCATATGAATGATTGAACCCTTCTCTGTGGACACACTGTTTTAGATGTAGTGAGAGGACATTAAGAAACACAGATTTGGTATAATAATGAGAAAATTAAATTGAAGGTGATCATTGTGTTAAATACATTATATTATTAATCCCTCATGACATTTAAAATTGAAAATATTTTTATTTTTTAAAGCTAATAGCAGTTACCATTGCTGGACCTGTTTTGTCCCACGTCTCAAGAATGATAAATGCCTCATTCAATTATTCATATTATTATGCTCTTTAAAAGGCAGAGTAGTAGTAGTACCAATATTATGGTGACAGAATCAGAAGGTTTGGTTTCCAAAATTATATGCAATTGTACTATGGTACTACTTACAATGGGCCAAAGAATACATTACTATATTACCACGGTACGTGATACTATTGGCACCTTTTGTTAGTGGTATAGCATAATTTTTCACTGTCATATTTTACCTTTTTTTTTTTCTTTTTTTTAAGTTCTCGGATCTGAGCTGATCCCGTCTAAACGAAGCCCAACAGAACATAAATACTACCAGACTCACAGCAACATCTTCTCCTTGCTCTCTCTTGCTGTTTACTGGCATCACTCTGAGCACGTGGAAGCAGTCTGTAGAAAACAACAAGGAAGCACATCAACCTATGACTAAAGCGTTTCAAATATAACCTCGCATAAGAATTCAATGCAAAAGAATTGTCGTATACGGTTTACATCCCGGTGATCGGTATATTCAACAGTGGTACTGAGACAGCAAAATAGACCCTTAAAACATAGTTGTTGTTATTATTATTTCAATGTTTATAGTTTTGAGCTAAAAATATGAACATTTAATTGCTATCTTAAATGTACCAACGAGAAGTCTTTTTTTTTTATTATGCAAAAATTATACAAAGATTTGTACAAACATATACAACTCGCAGCAAGTACAAAAACAAATAAACAATCATAATATGTAAAGTGAAACAATTCAAGCCAGGGGTAAAATTACAACAATTTAAAGTAACAAAAAGGTTCATAGGTCTTTCTAGCTTTGTTGTTCTTAATTTTGTCTAATGTGGTACCATATTGTTTAATCTCTTTTATAAAATGTTCAAAATTTGGCTTAGCTTTAGTCTATTTTTTTCACATGAATGTGATATTTTCCAAATAAAATAAAAAGTTGTGTAAGAAAGCATATCGTACTTTTGGAATCAACATTGTCCTGTACAAAAAATAAAACGACATCATACAGATTAATTTGTATATATGTTCCAAACAACCTAGAAATGAAATTAGAAACATCCAACCAAAGCATTTTTGAATATATACAATAAAAAAAAAAAAAGATGAGTCACAGATTCTTTGGCATTGCTACAAAATTCACATAAGCTTTCAATATTCAAATTAAAACGTTCAAGCAACTCCTTGACAGGGTAAATTTTGTGTAAAAGTTTATAGGATACCTCTCTAATTGTATTATTAATAAAAAACTTATTTACCAACGAGAAGTCTCTGGACTTTTCAGCAACATCTCATGCGTCATTTCCGCTAAACGCTAAAGCGTGAAGCTGAACTAGGAAACTTGTTCAGATCTAAACAGGAGGAGAATTAAAGGTTTGAGCCGGGTTTTTCTTCTCCTATTGTTCATGCTTTTATGTTGTTGATTTTTATGATGGTATTAATCTAACTATCTAATATACTCAATTTCGAGAGTCTAATATTAAACTCCCCAATGGGATAAATGAAGCTTCATTGGGTGATGAGCAGTAACGTTACTGTCACATTGTTTGGGTTCATGTAATTCATAAATTATGCATTTGTAGCTGGAGTCAATGACAAATAAATGTTACTTAATAGTATTCATAAATACGAATTAAAGGTTTGAGCCGGTTTTTTCTTCTCCTATTGTTCATGCTTTTATGTTGTTGATTTTTATGATGGTATTAATCTAACTATCTAATATACTCAATTTCGAGAGTCTAATATTAAACTCCCCAATAGGATAAATGAAGCTTCATTGGGTGATGAGCAGTAACGTTACTGTCACATTGTTTGGGTTCATGCAATTCATAAATTATGCATTTGTAGCTGGAGTCAATGACAAATAAATGTTACTTAATAGTATTCATAAATACTACTTAGAAGTTTCTCTTCTTTCTTAATTTAAAGTGATTGAAACTGGGTAAGCATATGACTCCTAAAATGACCCCCCTCATATTTGTTAAGCTGTCTGTTAACATGCTGGTGACATTAAAACCCAGCTAAAACCAGCTTCTGATCATTTTTAATGGTTTCTAGCTGGTCATTTATGGTTCTTATCTTTCCTTATGGTTGGTCAGATGATCATCTTGGTCCAGTATGTCATGTTGGACCAGCAACAAACCTTCCAGACAGCCTTTCTGTAATAAATTGAACGTTATTGTTGTTGAACAATTTGTAATTGAAGGTTATGGTGTTGATTTGAATGTCTTTAAGGTAAAATTGTCTAGCTGGTTAACATAGATCAGGGTTATCAAACTCGAGCCCTGCAGAGCTTTGTATCAGCACACATACCTTGTAGCTTTCAAATAAGCCTGAAGGACTTGATTCATTGGATCAGGTGTGTTTAATTAGGGTTGAATTAATCTCTGCAGGGCTCCGCCCCTCCGGGAATTGAGTTTGACACCCCTGACACAGACTGATCATAGAATGAAATTGTGAGAATGACTTGTGATAGTCTTGGGAATGTCATGTACAAGGAGTTATTGAATAATAAAATGCATATAATTAATAAATCCGTAATATATTGCACAAAAAAAATTCTAGCTGTTTGTTTGTTTTTTTCTCAAATTTAATTTTGTGTAAAATATTAATAGTATTTTTTTTCTGACACAAATATATTTAGCTAAAAATAATTATTTATCATATTTGTAGCAGGGCAAGTTAAAATACGTAAAGTGTTTTTGTCTAAAAAAAAATAGAACTGTTGACAATGACATTTGGATGCACATATAGACAGTTATAGGATCATATGTGTAACTGATCTCTTTTTCTGTTCTTTCATGCTTCACAGACCTCCGTCCTACAATCCCAAAGTCATCCACCTGATTACCTTCTCGAATACCAGGCGAGCTGATCCTTCTTGTTACAACCCACTCCTGCTTTTCCTTAAACTTATCGTTCTTGGTCTTGAAAATACTTCCACCTCATGCTTTTGCTCTGTTTCTCCATCTTTCCTTCATTTAGTTCTACTCTTTCCCTCCCCTTCATCATGACTGAACCAGAGCTGCTCACAGAGGTCCCTGCCTCTCTGAAACGGCTGGCCAAACAGGTTGTGCGAGGTTTCTATGGCATCGAGCATGCTCTCGCTCTGGATGTGCTGATCCGGAACCCCTGTGTACGTGAAGAGGACATGCTGGAACTGCTCAAGTTCGACCGCAAGCAGCTACGTTCAGTTTTGAACACACTCAAGGCTGACAAGTTTGTCAAATGCCGTATGCGTGTGGAGACAGCGCCCGACGGCAAGACGACACGACACAATTACTATTTCATTAACTACCGGCTGCTGGTTAATGTGGTGAAGTACAAGCTGGACCACATGCGCAGACGCATTGAGACGGATGAACGGGACTCGACTAACAGAGCCTCCTTCCGCTGCCCCTGCTGCATGAGCACATTCACTGACCTTGAGGCTAACCAGCTGTTTGACCCCATGACTGGTGAGTATGAAATTTGGGAGATGATTGTTTTAAACTGTTTGTCTGAATGTTATGAAAACATGATCAAGATACGTTCTCTGGAAATGTCTTATTAAAAGACATCATTTGGCACTAGGGTTAGGCGTTATAACGTTAAGTAAATGCAGCAGTAGCAATGAATCTGCTGTTAGAGTTTCTTCTATACCATGTGAGTATTGGTGGGCAGAACTGTGGTGTTATTTGCACATATACTACTATTTAACGTTTGTCAGACGTTTTTTCTTTTTAAGAAATTAATACTTTTATCCCACAAGGATGAATTAAATTCATCACAAATGACAGTAAAGACATTTATAATGTCACAAAAAAATCAGTTTAAAACAAATGCTGTTAAACTTTCTATTTATCTAAGAATCATGAAAAATTTTGCAAAAGCAGAACAACCTTTTTCAACCATTTTCAGCCCCAAATCAGCATATTAGAATGATTTCTGAAGGATCATGTGACACTGACGATTAAAGTAATGGCTGCTGGAAGTTCAGCTTTGCCATCACAGAAATATATTACATTTTATAATATATTAAAATAGAAAAATATTAAATTCACAGTATTATCATTTTTTTTTAAATCAAATAAATGCAGCCTTGCTGCGCATAAGACTTCTTTCAAAAGCATAACAATCTGACTGTCCCCATGCAAGATTTGTCATATTGTTTGTCCGTACTAGGCTGGTGAAATGGCATTGAAATCAGTTAAAGCAAACCAAGTTTACTAAATTAAAATGCATCTGCTTTGACTTCTCTTTTCCCTTAGAATTTCATGGAACAAACAAATTCTTTTTAAGTGTTATAAGTAATGGGAATGTGAGCAATGGGTCAGAGTTACTGTGTTATCATGATGTTGAAATCAATTAGAAAATGCTCTCTAAATCTAAGTATCTTGCTTATACTGGCAGGATTTTTCATGTATACAATGAAGATATGAGCTTATATTGGTTATTGTAATCTCTGTGTGGTTCTGTAAGTTTCAGGAGAAACCATGAAGTTCTTAATACCAAGCTGGTCTCACATTTAAGGGATTGTGTCATCATGTAGAAGATCCTAAGCCATGTACATTAGGACGTGAAGTCTGTGCTTGATCTCTTTATGTGTTTAATCTTTTTGCCAACTTTTGGTAAGTGTGTTGTAATCTATGTAAGTGATTCATTTATGTCTCTTGATCCACACTTTGGCAGAGCTGTATTCAGACACATGATGGCAGCAGAGGGCAAAAGCTGTAATGTTTTCAACACTTCATTGAACCTCACTTGGAGACTGATGCTGAATTGCGTCACTTTCCAGACAGTAATCACAGACAGGAATGGAAATGAAACTTTATTTTAATAGGTTTAAAAATAAACAGGCTGTGATCTCGTAGAGGTGGCTGTAAGGATTAGCACACCAGATTGACATCATCATCATCTTTGCTTCTGTGCCTACTGTTTTACACTTCTGACTAACAGCTGCTGATTTATGTACTTAGTGAAGTACACGCGCACACACACACACAAGTGCTGCTCTTGACGTGACTTGCGTTATAACGGTTTCAGAGCTTTGCACACTACTGGCCGTCCCTGTTTAAGCTTTTATTATGGACTGAACCCAGCAAAACCAAAGTCTGCGTAGTGTATGTGTGTGTATGTGTTTGAGTCCATTCCAGCAGTCTTGAATCATGTATAATTGATCTAACCTGTGTTTGTGTTCAGAAGGAAAATATATGAAAGGAGAGTCTGAATACTGAAGTCTTGTCTGTAGGGTCACTGAATAACACTGACGCATTGGGACTTGCCTTAATTATCTTCAAATACATCTTGAAGTACATGCATAAGACCTTTAAAAGCTATGAAAAGAGATTTGAACAGTGTTTGTAGGGAACTGACTGAATATGTAGGGCCGATGAAAAGACATTAATGTGGTTTCATCAATTAAAGGAATAATCTGGGTTATTTTCAAACCTCATTGTAAGCGAACAGGAAGTGTTTGCAGTAATGGACTTACAATGTAAGCCTGGCAGACAAGAAAACCAGAGGGCTTTAGCAGAAATGCACAACTCATATTTTTATTAAAGCAATTCTTCAGTAATTAAATGTGTGAAATGAGTTTTAAAACTGTAAATTGTTTTTTAAAATGGACTGCTTTTGTAGATAGAGACACTTCTAGTTATGCATTAGCAACATGTGTGTTGAGTTGCTCTATTTATACAGTGTTTTGCGGATAGTCTTTTTCTGGTATCTGCAGTTATCAAGTGAATGTGACGATTAGATTTACTATTTTAGCTTGTCATCACCAGTTTAACGTGTACTGTAAAAATATATTTTGTATTTTAAATCTGTTGGCAGTGCTGCCCAAGGGAAGTGAGTCGGAACACAGTGACAGTGGCTGCGTCTGATATCTCAGATTAGGTACTTATTTTGAATACTTACCTTGCAACCATTAAAAAAGTATCATCTAGTGTATAATTGGAAAGTATACTACATTCATTGTGTTGTCATATCCTCTCCCGTGGCCTCATGGGATAATAAAGCATCCATTATCTTTAGATGCACACTTCAGAATCTTGCCAGAAGTAGTTGGTTACTTTTTGCATGCTGTTTTATAAATATAGGAGGAGGAACTCCTCTGTACAGAAAGCATATGTTTAAGAGAGTGATGGACGCATGAGAGGAACAGGAATAAGAGCGAGAGTGTTGGAGGACTGAAAGCGGTGTCAGAGGTGAGTGATGAGTGTTAGAGGAAAATAAAGGCAGGTAAAGACCGCGTGGCATGTGTTCAACCTCACCTCTGCTGAAAGCAAACTGGAAGACAGGGAGGTAAAGCTGTTGCTAGGATACACATCAGGAGGATTGGCGAGGATAGAGCTGAAGAATGGAACGGCCAACAATAAAGCACCTAACCCTGTGTAGTAGACCCTGCCATTACAGGCAAACTTATTTCCCATGTTCCCTCCTGGACTAGTATCCCTGAAAGGATTTTATAGACATGAGTTTCATGATGCACAGTGTTCTGTGTCCTCCGAGTGGACTCAAATGTGGATGTTTTGCTATTGGCTGTTGTCACCCTGTGCTGCCTTTTGTGCTTAGGTTGCTTAGTTGTGTCTTAGAACAGGAGAGTGTATTGATCTGATTGGTCAAGCGCATCCATGTCCCCCCTTGTTGAGCAAATCAAAATTGATTTATGAAAATCTCTTTGATTGGTGAGGTGTTAGGGGAGATAAGGAGATCTGACAGGTCAGGCTTGCACAGTAATAAGTCACTTGCTGATCTTATCTTGGAATGTCTTCACGCTGCCTCATGTCAGTTATCTACTTCTAGTCTTCCTTCCTTCTGAGTCGCACATGCATATAGCAAAGTCTGTAACTAACCAATATGTAGATCAAAAAATATGGGTTTTTCAATGGTTGATTCGCATTACATTTGGCATCTTTTGCATGCTATCAATAATCAGCAAAAGCCAGTGGATCAACTCATTTTTATACATTTAAAAATAGTTGTTTCTTTAGTCCTGCACATGTCGGAAGTGGATGTTGGTCAATGAAAAGAGACCAGAAAATTAAAAGATTCTTCACAACATTTTAAGAGAGATCTTTAGTCAGTGAGCACTTTATTTAAATGATGCATGTTATACAACACTGAACCTAATACAGATCATTTTGTTTGTTTGTTTATGGAGTTATTGAACTAAAAAAATCATCTAAAATTAATTTTAAATTGTTCCTTGTAGCATCTGATATTGGTTACCCATGTAAAAGATGAAGAAAGATTGTGTTTTATTTCAGTGAGGAAAATGAATTAAGCATTGTGTGAATCTGTTTATTTATTTATTTTATTACCGGTATTATTGTTTTAAAAAACTAATTTTAGAATGCCCCTTTTTTTTTTTTTTACTAACAAACAAGTAAGTTTGTGACATGAACCAATTGTCTGTTTTTTTATTTATATATATATATATATATATATGTCAGTAGTTTTATTCTAGTTTTGTGTAAATGTATAATGAATTCCACAAAAATATTAAGCAGCACAACTGCTTTCAACATTTGGAGCATCTAGAAATGTAAGAAATGTTTCTTGAGCAACAAATCGGCATATTAAAATGATTTCTGAATGATAATGTGACACTGAAGACTTGAGTAATGATGCTGAAAATTCAGCTTTGCCTTCACAGGAATAAATTATACACTTTAAAATGTATTAATATAGAAAACAGTTATATTAAATTGTAATTATATAACAATATTACAGTTTTTACTGTATTTATAATAAATGCAGCTTCTGTGAGCATAAGAGACTTCTTTCAAAAAATCTAACTCAAGAAGATTAAACTCCAAACTTTTGAACTGTAGTGTAATATAGACTGCAGTGCACAGTTCATACTAAACTTTTGTGATTGGTCAGTCATTTCCAGACGCTTCGCATAAATGTAGTCGATTCACCCATTTGGCCATTTACTACAGACATTGCTAATCCATTGCGAATTGCTGAAGATTTCAGACGTTCTGTCCTGAAAGCTAATCCTTTCTGAATAGGGATTTAAGTGCTGTCTATAGCTTAACTTGTATTGAATCCAGAACAGTTATTTGAATTCATCTATATACAGTCCTTCAATGCAGAACAGTTAACTGTATTTGTATTGTAATTATTATCATTGCATTAGCTCTGCTGCAGTTGCAATCAGTGGTACATTTGTCACAGTTGCTCAGACCCCCTCATGAAAAAAACGTTCTCCTCTCTCAAATGCTGAAATGATGCTGGATTCATCTTTTAAAGGCTGATCTCAAAAGTCCTTTTGTTCTTTGGCGTAGACGACGGAACAAAGCACCATCCTGTTTTCAAAAGAGCTCTGAATCACTGGAGTGAGTGCTATGTAATTTAAACCAGACCTATTCATATCTCATAGATAATACAAAAACTGTAAACACAAAGGCACCAGCCCACTTTTCTCCGACAGAAGCCTTAATGTATGCCTACACGCTAACAGCACCAC